ATCCACAATAACCCATACTGAGTCAACCTTCTGCTGAGTCCGCGGCAACCCAACCACGAAATCTATGGTGATGCGCTCCCACTTGCATTCCGGAATGGGCATCTGCTGGAGTAGGCCACCTGGCCTCTGGTGCTCATGTTTAACCTGCTGGCAATTCAAACATTTAGCTGCATACTCCGCAATGTCCTTCTTCATCCTCCGCCACCAGTAATGCTGCCTCAAGTCACGATACATCTTCGTGGCACCTGGATGAATGGAGTACCTCGAACTATGGGCCTCCTCTAGAATCCTCTCTCTCAAGCCATCAACATTAGGAACACATACATGGCCCTGAAGCCGTAACACACCATCCTCGCCAATAGAAATCTCCTTGGCACCTCCCTTAAGTACCGTCTCTCTGAGGGCCGCCAAATGTGTATCATCGAACTGGCGGGCCTTAATTTGCCCCAATAACGAGGACTGAGCAACCACACATGCTAGAACTCGGCTGGGCTCTGAAATGTCCAATCTCACGAGTCTGTTAGCTAAAGACTGAATGTCCAAAGCTAATGGTCTCATCTCAGCAGGAATGAATGCCAAGCTACCCATACTCTCTGCCTTCCTACTCAAGGCATCCGCGACCACATTTGCCTTGCCTGGGTGATAAAGAATGGTAATGTCATAATCCTTTAGTAACTCGAGCCACCTGCGCTGCCTCAAATTAAGATCCCTATGCTTGAACAAATGCTGCAAGCTGCGATGGTCTGTATAAACCTCACATGACACTCCATATAAATAATGCCTCCATATCTTAAGAGCATGAACAATCGCCGCCAACTCTAGATCGTGCACAGGGTAATTTTTCTCATGAACCTTCAACTGACGTGAAGCATATGCAATAACTCGCCCCTCCTGCATCAATACACATCCCAAGCCAACACGAGAAGCGTCACAATACACTGTATACATCCCTGAACCGGAAGGCAATACAAGAACTGGTGCCGTAGTCAAGGCCGTCTTGAGCTTCTGGAAGCTCTCCTCACAATCATCGGACCAACAGAACGGGGCCCCCTTTTGGGTCAATCTGGTCAGAGTGATGCATAGATGAAAAGCCCTGCACAAATCGCCGGTAATAGCCTGCTAACCCCAANTTGGATGGCCATGAAACGAGTTTTGGGGTATTTAGTACATACCCAGGACTTTGCTTTGCACTACAATAAATATCCTGCGGTCATTGAGGGATACTGTGATGCAAATTGGATCACCGGATCAACTGATTCCAAGTCCACAAGTGGATATGTATTCACTATTGGTGGAGGAGCGGTATCTTGGAAGTCATCCAAACAAACTTGTATTGCCCGCTCTACAATGGAGGCTGAGTTCATAGCCTTGGATAAAGCCGGTGAAGAAGCTGAATGGCTCCGAAATTTCTTGGAAGATATTCCATTTTGGCCCAAACCGTTGGCACCAATATGCATACATTGTGATAGTCAAGCGGCAATTGGAAGGGCTGGGAGCGTTATGTATAACGGTAAGTCTCGCCATATACGACGAAGACATAAAACCGTTAGACAATTACTCTCTAGAGGAATTATCACGATTGACTATGTAAAGTCAAGTGATAATGTGTCGGATCCACTTACAAAAGGCCTAACTAGAGAGGTAGTTGAGAAGTCATCAAGGGGAATGGGACTGTGGCCGAGAACAAGTCATAGTGGCGGTAACTCTACCTAGAAGACTGGAGATCCCAAGATCTAGGTTCAAGGAGATCAAACAAAGTCATTTATTACGGTTCAACATTGTCAACTAAACTTTTGGTCCATTCTCGTGATGAGACAATGTTCAGTACCAAGGATAAACATTAAGGCTTTTTAATGATTTCTAAATTTGATACGGGGTATATCAAATAGTGTATCTACGGGATGACACGTTTAGGAATCACCTATGTAAGTGTGAAGTGTTAGCCGCTTCAAGGAGAACATTGTAAGGCCAGTTCTCTACGCACTTATGAAACCAGGCGGTGTTCATGGCTGAAAAGAACACAACAATGAGAACCAAAGACGGTTAAGGGTTGGTTGTGTGACTTGTGGTTGTCTAGGTATACACTAAAGTTCGACGGTTCAAAGATATCAAATCTACCGATTGATCGAGTATATCCGACATAAGTTCACTACGGAAAGTTCAAAGGGAAACCTACTTATCCAGATGCAATTAATCCTTACTTGTGAATCACACAGTTTTTCATGCATACTTCCGTGATATAGCCATTCCCCATTCATGTGGGGGATTGTTGGGGTTTGGATGTGTTTAATTAATATATTAAATACTTAAAAGAGGGTGAATGGGAAATGGAGGGAAATAAAATTTTTGAGTGAAATTTTAAGTTCCCCCCTTGGCAAATGGGCATTGTCCCATATTGGAAGAGGAAGAGGTTTTTTATGGGTATATAAGCAATTGCTCTTCTTCTAGCTCTTAAAGAGTTGAGAAGAAGGCAAGCCTCGCGCCGTCGTCGTCGTCGCTCGCTCAGCTCGGCTTCGGCTTCGGCTACGGCTACGGCTTCGGATTCGGATTTGGATTTGGTCAAATGATCGATTGATTGATTAACTTTTTGGACCAAATTTATTTGTTAATAGTAAAATATTAACAGAAATGTTATTAAATATTTGTTTTAATAACAAAATATTAATATTAAATCCAATCCGTTTTTCTGTTTTGGTAACAGAAAAGTAACTACCCTCTTCAATTTTCCCTCTTTATTTTCCCTCTTTATTATTGAGTAAATGGCCATTTATGTAATGGCATTTATGCTGTGGGCGTTTTGCATAAACAGCCATTCTGAAGAGTTGCACCTCTTCAGATTTCAGCCTAACTTTGGCTATAAATACAACACTATTCTGCTCAGAATTTCACTACGATTTTCTGAGTTTCTTCTCCTTCGTCTGCATACTTTTAGCATCAAACAAAGCAAAAAGTAAGTGTGATTTGCTACCGAACTTTGTGTTCGCTGAAACACTGGGGTTTGAAGTACCACTACACCAGTGTGTAATTCGTTCTATCTTGGGAGGAAATAATCCATAACCTTGGGTACTAGGAGGGGATTAAATTCCTTAAGGAAACACTGTGAATTCAGTGGGCTCGAATTGGTTTTATGTCATTTCTGTTTATGTTCATTTCTGTTTATACTCATTTATATTTCCAGAATTATTTTACAAATACAGTCTACTAACAATTTCACCCCTTCTCGATAATATTTTTACGTTTTAATCAAATACTACTCCTATAATATTTTGCCAAATACATAGGTGGCCTCTAAAACTTGGCAGTAATTTTCACTCAACTGAGCTTTGTACCTATTGAACACTTAAACTTACACCAAATTGTGTTATTAGATACATTTTTCATAGTCTTAAAAAATTTTAAGAAAAAAAAAGACTATGATATACTAACACGTCTATTTATGCCAAATACTCCAAAATAAAATTAAAAAACCTTTTGAGCCAAACTCACGAAAAAGTTATACATTTTCTTTTAAAGACGTTGAGACCATTGTCCTAATATTTGCATTTGTTGCTTTCTTCATGCTATAATATAGAATCATATAGTAGAAAAATAAACAGCACGGAACTATAAGATAATATACTTAACACATATCTCATGGTATTTACATAGGAATAAAGATACACTTCTCTTAGAAGGAAAGTTAAGTACATTTAAGATATCATATAAGATTAGAAGGGTCTGATTTGATATGCTCTTCTATTTCCGCATCTAGAATTTTACATTATTATCAATATTACTAACAAAAAATTTCAATTGAAAATTGCTTATGATGATTCCTGAAGAAACCAATCCTATGTATAACCCATGGGTTCTTGGATAACTTAAAGTATCGAATAAATTCATGAATTTGAGATATTGTCAAATTTAAGAATATATCTACTATCAAATTCTTTTCTAGATGCATAAAACACTTTGAAAATCCAATCAACATGAATATACTCGTTAAAAGTCATTATTTTAAATTATTTAAATATTATCTAATATTTTATATATACTAGTCAAGTTCTTCACAATGTTATCTAAAAGAACATGAAACATTGTTGTACGTAACTTTTTATCAATCGTCCATCTTCGAACAATTGAGGCATTAGATTTAACGTTGTTTTTTATTTATAATGTAGGCCCTTGTTCTCTCTCCTGTAACCCTAGTTTATAGGTTTCTCCTTCTCCTATCTATCAATGACGCATTATAAGATTATTCAACCCTGATACTTTGCATGTTTCACTTTTAAAGATTTTGCAGATTGTACATCACTTCAAGAAATTTGATTTTAACGATCATTTCTTAACGAAGGGACATAAAACCGGCCGTTATAAGTGTATTTATAGCAACCAAATTTTTTTCAGTGGTTAAAATTAATTTTTAGCTCAATATTAACGAGGGGATAATATTCGGCCGTTAAAATATAACGCAGCCGGTCATTAAATAATTATTAATTAATAAAAAAGTGGCGCAAACTTTTCCCTCTTTTTTTCCCAACCCAGATTCCGCCAAATCTCCAACCCCCCACCCCCACCCAAAAAAAGGAAAAAGCCCTAAGACGTCGACTTAAACAGTTCGTATTCCTACTTATTAGTAGAGGGAACACAGACACCTCTCCTTCAACGTGTGTGTTTCCTTGAATTTTCTAATTTGTCTGGGGGTATCTTTGTAGTTTCATTAATATACAGCTCAACCTTGTAGCTGTTGTCTCTTTCTGACGTTGCCAACACGTGGACTCCCAATTCCTCAAAGCTAAAAACTCATTCAACAGAACTTGTTAGAAGAGGGAATACAGGCACCTCTCCGTCAACGTGTGTTTCCTTGAATTTTCTAATTTGTCTGGGGTATCTTTGTAATTTCATTAATATACAGCTCAACCTTGTACTCATTCAACAGAACTTGTTAGAAGCATCCACTTCCAGGTTAAGCATCAATTGCCCCAAAATCCAGCAGACCTCACCTAATAATTTGACGAAATTAGAGCAGTTAGCCTTTTTGGATTCACATCTACCACAAAGAGCAGGCATATTCCAATCACTTCAGCATTTCATTTTATTTATGGTTTCCGTTCAACTTTTTCTTCTTCTGCAAAAAGATCATATCTTTGGGATCTTGGCTTGATTAGCGATCTTTTCTATCTTTTCTTTAGTTTAGTCTTAAGATCCGTTTCAGAAAGGTGAAAATAAACTGAGGTTGGGTTTTGATTTGTTCTCTGTTTTTATTAATTTATTTTGGATTTCTTATGTGAATTCTAAGTTCTCTTTATTTTATTTTTCTGCTATTCTACTTTTTCTTTAAAAGATTGTTAGAAGTTCGTCAATATGTCTGCTTGTTGGAGGGAAATTTCGTCTTCACAATGTTATTGTGCTATGCAAAATTCCTGTGGTATCCCTGTACCGGTGGATTTGAGCTATTTAGAGAAAGGCAACACAGGTAATTTCGCAAGCTAACCTGACTATCACCGCTTAATATTCTGCAATACCAAGATTTTCCTCCGCATCTCTGTCGTCTCTTTGTTTAGATTCTCTTGGCTCCTCCGCTGATTTATGTCTTTTTGCATGATGCGCATCAATTTCTGTTATATATTGCGCGATAGTTTAACAGGAGATTGTGGTTTTTATTGTGTTTTTGCAATTCTATATTTGCTCAAGATAATCACATGATTGAAAGGTTAGTTTTACTGTTCTGTTTCTTTTGCTTCATAGGGGTGTCTCTTGTGTTTTGTTTCAGGTGTTCTGTTTCTTTTGCTTCATAGGGGTGTCTCTTGTGTTTTGTTTCAGGGTTCTTGTTGGGTTGTTCGAATACTCATTATAATTTTATCTTTATTTTTTGTGAAACTACTTAAAAAGAAATTGGGGTTTCCGGGTATTTGAAGGTTTTATCATTTTTAAAAATTGGGGCTTTCATAATGGATGATCCTGTAACTTTCGTGGATTTGACTTTTGAGCTATAATTTTAATGGGCTTCTGGTTTATTTCAATTTTTCCCTGTATTTACATGAAAAAAGATGACTTAGTCCTTCATTGTTTGGAAGTTTTGTATTATCACTTCTTATTTCCCATGCCGAATTTTACCTTCACAAACTATGAGATTTTAAGTTCCTTCAATTGAGATTGGCTTTACTATCACGTAAATAATATAAGAGAAAAGAACACCTACGGTGAATACTATTTCTGAACTGCGTAAATTGTGCTAAGTCGTAGTAGTTATAGTACTATTGTCCAATTAATTAATCCGCCAGTTGATATGCATATTTGTAGTCTGGCGGAGACGATATAGTGCAAATACACATTCTGCTTTTAGAGCAAGAATTAGAGTTATTGCTATAACTACACTTGCGATAAAAAAGTCTCGCCGAAAGAGATTACATTTTCTATTTTACGTATTCAGTTACATGTTTAACCTGCATTTTTAAAGTTGCTTAGTTATGTATATATAATTATTTTCTCTCTGTGTTGCTGAAGTTGGACTGACTCAATAAATTGCTTGAGCACGTGTCCTTATTGGACAACGTACTCTTCATTTCTTAAAAGTATCTTGAATAGATAACTAGCTTGTGCTAAACTGTATAAACAAACTACTTACAGGACTGCAAAAAATGTTGTTGGAGAGCGAATTTCAAAGTATAAAATTAACTCTGCTGAATTTGAAACATCGAATGGGGTTCTTTACCTACTTTCCAAGCTCAGTGGTTTCTTATTGGCCAGAAATAAACTTAGTTGGTGTTTTTATTTTCAGATAGTGTTCCGACTTGCTAGAAATTAGACTCTGGCATAAGATACTGAAAATGTTATTCGTACCTGCCTTCTTTCCATTTTGTATTGTAGAAAAACATTAGATGACAATTGTTAAGTGGTCTTGATGGTTTCATTTAGCAAATAAATGTTCGATCAGTAAAGTTATGGACGAATTTGACTCTATTGAAAAAGTTCGATCAGTAAAGTTTATTCCTTTGACACAAAGATACAAACTTGCCAACTAGAAGGTCTTGTATGCTTTCTTTGAGAAGAAATGGCTTACATCTGAAATTTTAATGAAAGTAGCATGTATTTACTTAATCGTGGGCAACCTTCTTGAGATATGGTTTTACCAAGTTCACTTGAGTTATCAAATGTAAATTGGTATGCTCTCCTACGGCCATTACCAATACGTCTACGTACATCAGTTGTGCTATTCATCTACTAATATTTATAGAAAGTTTCACTTGATTCTACTTCAACAATATAAAAGTCATCATGAATATTTTCATGGATCCTCCTTTTAACTGTCTTCTACCTTGTGCAGATCAATCAAGCTATTATTATTGAAGTCGGACATTCTAGGCAAGCTTGTTTTGATTTTGAATGCAGTACATTGGAATCCTGAAGCACCACCACGAACGTTATCGGGCGTCCGCCTGCGACACATGTCTTCCTTTATGATGAATTAGTTCACAACAGGCTCAGCTCGATCTACTTTTTGACGAACTTATATGATGTTGGAAACTGAATTTAGAAGACAAAGAACAAAAAACATTTTACGCTTTGCTTTTGGGTCTTTGCAGATATTATCACATGTACCTTTATTTACAATAGTAGTATTATTTATATCTCTCTTTAGTACTTGCAAAATCAATAACGAAACATTCAAAAAAATTATGAGACATCCTGACAAGCGAACGGCCAAATATTATGGTGAGAATCAGAAGTACACAATATAAACAAGGTAGGTTTTGTTTACATTGGGCGCGGGCAAAGCCCGGGCTACCCCTACTAGTAAACCTAATAAGCTCAAAGACGTTGGCTTCTCTAACAGTTCGTAAACCTCTGTTTTGAACAAACTAGCAGAGAACTGCTGCGACAAATTCAAATAATTAGAGTTCGTAAAATTCAGCGAATTAGCGAACGAAGCTGCTCGTCACCTCTATTGACAACAACTTCTCATCTTTGAGGTTCTTCTCATCAAGGTAAGGTTCAAAATTTTACCCTTTTCTATGTGAATTGAGTAATAATTTCGCTAGAAAAGGCATCTGAACTAGGAGCAGGGATGAGAGAGGCCAGAGCATAGATTGTGATTTGACTCCCCATCTGTTGAGTGATATCTGTTTTGAATGAGCAACTGCTATATTTCCTATCACGATTAAATCATCTTTTCTAACAGTTTATTCTGAATGTCAATTTCGTACTATCAATTTCACTGAGTGCCAAGTATAACTGTCGAAATATTGGTCCTCCTAAAATTAAAGTTGATAATTTTTAGCTGTTGTATAACTATAAGGTTGTGATCACACTTGTATGCATATGGATGTTAGTGTTCACTTTGGTGAAAGAATAACACAAAATACAAAAATTTACTGGATGTCTGAAACTTGTAGGGATAGGGAGATAGGAGGGAGAAGGGGGGAGTATCGGAATAATGAAGTTGGAGGGTAAACTGACTCACATGTTAAGAATTATGGTTCTTTTTGTTTGGGAGGAAAACACTAGCTTACAACATAAGGAAGAAGCACTAGGCGGAATGACCAGTTAGTATTATATAGCAGGAAAGGGAAGAAGTAGGTTCTTTTGATGTAAAGTTGCTAATTGGTTGTATTCTGATCTAGTTAAGTGCACCTGAGTTCACTGAGCTATAAAATGTTAATATATGCTTGTGACTCCTTCCTTGGTGCTTGTTTTATGGAATAAATTGCTCTGTTTATTTATAAAAGAAACACAAAAAGTACTGTGCATAACAATTTCTTCAGCCGTATAGAAATAACTTTGGGAATATTTAAAGAAGTAGCAATAGAAGTTTGCTGCTAGTTCGATGGAGGAATTTTCCTTTACTCCCACAGGTTACATACAGTCAATATTATGTAGTCTCAGCAAAGCTTGGACTCTATCCAAGCTTTGCGGACTTCGTAACTAAGAAAGAGAGAAAATTTGCAGAAGGAAAATATTTAGAAATCGTTAGACTGGTACGGAATTTAAAAAAATTTGAAAGAACTCTCAGCAAGCCTAAGTAGATACTTCAGCTGCCAAATACAGAAAAAGACCTCTGAACTTCTTTGAGAAAATATTTTGAATTTTTTGTATTGGAAGATGAAGCAGAATAAGCTTCTTGGAGTGCACTATTAGTTGAGTTGGAAACCTGTTTGGAGTGTTGTTTTGTCCAGCTTTTGAGTGTGCATCACGATTTGCAAAATCTTCCCATCTTCTTTCCTGACTTGTTCATGATCATTGATTAATGCATTAAAAGAATTAGAAACATCAGTGTTCTTTGATGCTATAATCTGATTTTTAAGACCCGGAGAAATTCTTTTGCTAGGGTATCGAGTTACAACTGTCCAAGCTCTACCTTTTGACTGATCAGCTAAACCTTTTCGGGACTGTTTAGCTTGTTCAAACACTGCCTTAACACCTGTAACAGCTGCACTATCCATAACATCAACTCATTCACGTTCCTTCCCCTCATCTTGTGTAACAGTAGCTAAAAAACCTACTAGTTTTTCAACTACATCAACAAGTGCAGCAGTAGATTTAGGAGCCCCAACAGTAGGTCGATCACCAGTTGCATTCAATGAAACATTAGCTTCCAACTTCGAACCTATAGTAGATGCTTCAATTCCAGCCTTTTCGACTGCCACTGCTACATGATTCTTAGTATTGTTTCCTCGATCACGCCCTGTAACAGCTATACTACTCAAAGCATCTACATCTTCAAGACCTTGCCCTTCATCGTGCACAACAGTAGGTTTAATAACTGCTGGTTTTTCAAAAGCATCTACATCCCATGTCTTACACTTATAGCTAACTGCCTCCTGTAGCTCGTTTAAATTCTGGACAGGTTCATCATTAAACTCATCTTAACTTATCATGTCATCATGTTCTTATCTTGTGTAGTCATCCCCTCCTTTTGGTTGTTTTGTTGCCGACGACATCATGGATAAAGTTTGCTGGATGTTTGAAACTTGTAACATGTTGCTAGATCGATCAAACAAATCATTGGAGGGGATATCATGTTGGGATGTATTCAAACCAACCCCAGCTATGCCATTGTTTTCTTTCACCTCTTGAAGAGACAGTCCTTCCGTTGGATTATGCAAAAACCCAGGCAGAACTTGCAAAGGATTCATGCTCTCTAGAATTTTAGCTCCAATTGTAGTAACATTAACATTAGCAGGTTTAATAGAGTTACTGGAAACTACCACAAGCTGCCCATTCTTATCTGTTGAATCCTTCTCTATGTTGGCACTTGTTAGCTGATCCTCCACCATCAGAACATCATAAGCATTTGTACTACAAAAATGTTTGTCACGAGCAGATCGATTCGGAGAAAGAATTCTAGCTGATGCCTTCTTTTTGCGTGTTACTGAACTCCAGCCTTCCTCTCTATTCACATCCACTCCTTCCGTGCTACTAGAGTTTGCAGCCTGTTCCAGTATCTCATTAGGATTAGTAGATTCATCATTAGCACAATCCTCCTGTATAGTTAAATTTTCAGTAGGTCTAGGAGATAACACGATTTGCCCAGATTTCACTGAAGCTGTGTACTCCTGCTTAGCAGATTCTAGCGTCCCAGTTTCCTGCATAAGAGTTGTTTTTACACCAGTAGTGGCATGATCAGCTATATGTAATTACTGCCTTAACGCCTTTAGGTGCTGCACTATCCAAAGCAACAACACCTTCAACATCTTGCCCCTAATCATCCACACCAGTAGCTTTTAAAACTGCTGGTTTTTAGCTATTTCAATTGCACCAGTAGGTCGATCACACAGCCCAGTTTTCTTCTCCTGCACAACTGTTTTTTTATGATCATTACTCTGCTCCTACCTAGTATTAATGTGCCCATCAATTTTAGTAGCAACCTTAGCTTGAATACGATCAACACCAGGGCCCTTAGCAATTTGCTTTTCCCCCTCCAACTCCTGAGAAACATTCTTCACAGCTATGGCTTTAGAACCTGCTGGTTTTTCCGCATTTACAGCAGTCACTACACCTCGATCATTAATCGTTTGAACCTTAGGAGAATTCAGTGCAATATTATGATTTTGTAGAGCAGAACCAACAGCCTGGTAAATCCTCACTAAAGCAGTAGCAACTAGAATGTCACGAGGGAGTTTAGAAACAGGTTTCTATTGATCCCTACTCAGTTGCCCAATTTCTATAGCATCAACCTTACCACTCCTACCTCCTTGATCAGCCAGAGTGACCTCTTGTTGTTCATTACCATTTGTATCTCGAATCAAACCAGTACCATGACCTAACAACACCAGCTGGCTAAGTCTGCATAGCAACAGCAGTCCCCGTCACACTAGGATTAGGATTGTCCTTCTCCATTGTTGAGCCTACTACATCCTGTAGATTTAGCAAGCTCCAAATTTTGCTGTTTCTTTGCATTCAAAAAGTCCCTAGCATCACCTTGCATTCAAATTTTGTTGTTTCTTTGCATTCAAAAAGTCCCTGGCATCACCTTGTTTCAGCATCAAGTCTGAAGCAGCCTTAAATTATATTTTTTATGAGGTGGGTTAATCCAAATAGGTCAAGTTTTCTTCTTTGGTTGATAAATCTAGCTCATTTCTTTAATAATACCCCAAGATGGTGTCATAAGTATTTACAAAGTGAATGAGTCACCAAACAACATTTATCAATCAAGTTTTTACAATCATCTAGGCATGAAGGTGCTCATTATTTACCCAATAAAAGAAGGAGAACAAAACGGATTCTTAATACATGTAATTATGGAATAATTTCCTATATTCTCATTCCAAATCGTCAAAAGCACACAATGTTATGATCTTCAAATTGCTCTGTTCTGCTTGCTAAATCTCTGTGATCTCGATCTGATTGTCTTCTTCACCGTCCCTGGATCACTCAAACCATCTCAAATAAGGAGAGTTTGATATTCCAATCGGTTTTTTCATCCATATAGTGAATCCTTACTCTATTTGGTTTCTTATCAAATAAATCCAACTCAACTTTACTCTTGATGTGCTAGGCCTTGATTTTTCTTGTGTAGCTTTATCAACAGCTATTGGTTCACCAGCAGCTAAAGCAATTGACAGTAGAGATCGTTTGGCAAATAACATAGGAGGCAGATTAGGTAACGATATCCATACAAACGCCCTAGATGTTTCTTCCATATGATTAAAACCAAGAGTCTTAAGGGAAAACTCTAAACTGATGGTTCTCACCATTAACGAGCAGATAGTTAACAGCTTTAGAAGCAGCTACAACATAATCTTCATACAAATCAATCCTGATGAGGATGTGCCGTCTCGCCAACCTCTTTGTGTGAAATTGGACATTAAGGAGGAGGAGCATGGCTTGGAGTTGTATGTTTCTAATATCAATTCAGTTAATTCAGTTAGTGATATTAAACTTTATCTGAAAAATTTGGTCTATTTGGTTTGACATTTCAGTATTAATGACTCGGTCTTGGTTGTGCAAATAGATTACACTAATGTCATATTCAATATCTGTTGCTTTCACTCGATATGTACTTAACTGAGATACTCACTCTGAATCACTTAATTCACTTTGCGGAAAAATAAATTTGTAACTTCACCAAATATATTGCTACACTCCAATCTATTAAGTGATTTTGGCATTCCATATATTGTAACTTCACCAAATCTATTGCTACAATCCAATCTGTTACATGATTTTTGCATACCAATTATATAGAGTCTGATGTGGAGTAGTATTTTAGTGAGTTATGAATTCATTCTTTTTCTGTTTGAAGGTTGTATTATGTACAAAGTAACATATATGTATCTGGTGTTATGGACTCTAATTTAAGGATGACTCATGAGCAAAATTAGCTATTAACTTTAAAGTAACACCAAAGAAAAATTGATCTTAATATCATAGGAGACTTGAAGTGCCAGAATGTTGGTAAAACATGACTTATTTAGGAATTAAGTTGTTGATTTGACTATTCCTTGTTTGATTTGTTGAATGAATAAGTAAAACATGACTAGACATGATCCCTTTTTCTTAGTCATTTTTTTCTGCCCTGAAGTTTTCAGTTTCTCTACCTGAATTTTTAGTTGTTCACTTAAAATTCTTTCACATTCTTTTCCTTGATTGGTTATTTTGTTTCCTGAAATAACACTATTTTCTTAATCAACAATCACACTATAAGAGCATCAATATAGAGTAATTTTTTTAGTTTCCCTGATTTGTAGCTTAATTATAAAATCCTTACAAAAAATATTCTCAGTTTTCAGAAGTACTAAAATTTAACATATTTATTCATCCTTTATTGTAAACATTAAAGCTGTTACTTGGGCTATAGGCCAGTGAAATGGTGGATGTGAGAAATTATTCAAACGGATTGTAAAAATAATCTTCGAAGTAGATTGACTAATATTCCTTAGTAAAGGTGACTAATATGTTTTTATTCGCTTATGTTCACTTCTTGTTCATTGCTGTACTAATATTTTTTGGTTTACTATATATGTATATCAATTTTGTCTATGCACCAGATTATGGCACCTGATTAGCAATGGATGAAACTTATTCATGATCGACTTGATAACGCTTACATACTTGGGGTGGAGAACTTTCTGGATTATGCTTTTAAAAGATTGGGAGAAACACGTGAAATACGTTGTCCATGCGTCAAATGCTGTAATACAATTTCAGGAACACGTGAGCTGGTTAGGTCACATTTAATAGAATACGAAATAGTCCAAAATTTACCCTTTGGTATCACCATGGGGAGTGATTAGGTGAGTCTTCTTCAGATTATGAATTTGTAGATGATAAGATCAATGAAAAGGGTGATGGTGAGGATGAAATACATGAAATTTTAAGAGATTTATATCGCACTTTTGAAGGAGACAATATGAACAATGATGGTGATGGGAAGTTTTAGGAGGAACCAAATATTGAAGCAAAAGATTCTATAGGATCTTAAAAGATTTTGAGCAACCATTATACCAAGATTCAAAAGTTTCTAAACTTTCTACTTTGGTACAGTTGATTCATATCAAAAGTATTGGTAATTGGAATAACACGTCATTTACAATGTTGTTGAAGCTCTTGAAGGAAGATTTATTGCCGGATAGATCAAACTTGCCAGATTCATATTACGAAGCAAAGAAGGTAATTCGGCACCTAGGACTTTCTGACAAGAAAATTGATGCATGTAAGAATGATTGTATGTTATACTGGAAGGATGATAAGTCTCTTGAGTCTTGCGAAGTTTGTGGTGCATCTAGATAGAAGGAGGATAAACGTAGCGGGAAAATCAAATTTAAAAGTGGAAAAAAGATACCATCCAAGATTTTACGTTATTTTCCTCTAAAGCCAAGACTTCAAAGATTATTTATGTCCTCGAAAATATCTTCTCTGATGAGATGGCACCATGACAAAAGAGTTGATGATGGAATAATGAGGCACCCAGCTGATTCAATAGCGTGGAAAACGTTTGATGAACTTCATCAATCTTTTGCATCTGAGCCTCGTAATGTTCGACTTGGACTTGCTAGCGATGGTTTTCAACCATTTGGAAATTCCAAAACTCCGTATAGCATTTGGCTTGTGGTACTTATTCCTTATAATTTACCATATTGGCTATGCATGAAGAAAGAAAATTTTATTTTGTCGATGATTATTCCTGGTCCTGGAGTCCTGGAGATGCTATTGATGTTTATCTCCAGCCTTTGATAGAGGAATTAAAGAAATTGTGGGAATTTGGAATGGAGACCTTTGATGCGTCAACAAAACAAAACTTTGTGTTACATGCATCTTTATTATGGACCACTAATGACTTCCCCGCCTATGAAAATTTGTCTGGATGGATTACAAAGGAAAAACTAGCGTTCCCCTACTGCAATAAAGAAACTCACTCAATTAGGTTACAAAATTATAAAAACAGTGCTATATGGGCCATAGACGCTTTCTTCCTCTTAATCACAAATGGAGGAATGATAACGCATCATTTGATGGCACTAAGGAGCGAAGATTACCACCAAAACAATTGTCTGGTGATGATATACTTAATCAAGTGGCTGATTTATATGGGTTACAACTAACAAACGATCCAACGAAGAAGAATAAAATATCACATGAGAGTAAGAGTGATAATTAGAATAAGAAGAGTATTTTCTTTGATCTTCCATATTGGAAAACTCTTTTATTACGGCATACTTAGATGTAATGCACATTGAGAAAAATATATGTGATAATATTTTGGGGACAATCTTAAATATCAAGGAAAAACCAAAGACACCATAAACACTCGGTTGGATTTGCAAGCAATGAACATTAGGAAAGAATTGCATCCAATAAAAATTGGGGATAAATATGACTTACCAACGGCATGTTACACATTATCTCCTGAAGAGAAGCACAGGTTCTTCAGTTTCTTGAAGAACTTAAAGGTCCCAGATGGATTTTCATCAAATATTCCCAGTGTGTCAACCTTAAAGATCGCAAAATTTCAGGTTTAAAAAGTCATGATTGACATGTTCTTCTACAACATTTACTCTCACTTGCTCTACGGGGCATGCTATGCAAATCTGTGTGTGAACCGCTTATTGAGTTGTCTTTGTTTTTCAACGTACTTGGATCGAAATGTTTAAGTGTGGATGAATTAGAGCAGATAGATGCCCAAATCCCAATAACTGAGTGCAAGCTAGAAAAAGTCTTCCCTCCTACATTTTTTGATGTCATGGAGCACTTGCCAATTCATTTAGCTAATGAAGCTAAGATTGCTGGACCTTCTCAATATCTATGGATGTATCCAATGGAGCGATATATTTATTTTATGAAACCATTTATTCGTAATAGGGCTTGCGCAGAAGGTTCTATTGCAGGGGGATATTTAGCAACTGAATGTATGACCTTATGTTCAAGGTATATACTACAATGAAAACAAAGTTTAATCGCCTTGAATGAAATTATGATGGTGGTATTATAGAATCTGATGGAGGTTTAACAATTTTTTGTCATCCCGGAAGAGCTTTAAGAGGTGGCAAACCACACAAACTTGATTCAAATGAAATGGAGCAAGCACATATTTATATTTTGAAGAATTGTGATGAAATTCAACCATTTCTCGAGTAAGTAATGAGTTGTTTCAATAATTTACTTTTATGTACCTTTTCTATTTTTTTCCATTAAAATAACATGTTATTATGCTTTAATTATATGTAGAGAGTTTTCACTAACTCCAGTTGATACCTCTCAAGAAAATTCTTATAGGCAATTCATTGGTTGGTTAAAAGAAAAGGTGAGTACTAGTTAATATTAATATTTTTCAAACCAAGTTTGTAAATATTATTTGCTAAACTATGTGCTTGATCTTGATAGGTTGCAGGATTACACAAATGCAATGATAGTAAAAAAAATGGCAGATTTGCTCTCATTGTCACGTGGTCCCACGCCATACGTGACAAGTCATCGCGGGTACCTTATTAATGAATATAGGTTTCACGTGAAAGATTAAGATAAAGGTTTGAGAACTCAGAACTGTGGGATGGTTGTAGCTGGAGAGACAGATGAAGAGAATAAGAACATTGATTACTATGGAGAACTAACAGATATACTAGAATTACAATTTACTGGTGGAGGAAGAATAATTTTATTTCGATGTACGTGTTTTGATGTGTATGACCAAGAAAAGGGGGTTAAAATAGATGAATATAGCTTTGTAAGTGTTAACCGCCAGCGATTTCTGAAAACAACTGAGCCTTTTGTATTAGCTAACCAAGCATCACAAGTTTTTTACGTTGACGATCTTTCCGATAAAGGTTGGCATGTTGTACAAAGTTCAACCTCGTGATACTTTTGAGGTTTTGCAAGAAAATATTGATGATTTAGAGGAATTAGATCATTCTTCACAACTGAAAAGAAAAAGAACTCATGAAGGTTTGGATATTTATCAACTCCTTTATTTAATTAGGCAACTCACTTATGATGAGGGAAGCTTTGTACTGGATTCCATTTGATTTACAAGTTCAGAAAAAGATTCTAAAACTATACTAGTGGATTTTCTCTTAACTGATTATATGTTCTTATATGATGAATCTGACTTGTTAAATATTTGTTTATCTCCAGGTTTCTATGCGTCATGTTTTTGTAAATTATCTTTATTACTGTTGTCTATGGTCATGTAACTTCCTAGCTTCTTTCATAGACCTTCATATGATCATATATGATAATACTGACATTATAGACATCTATTACTCAATTTTTTTTTTGCTAGGTTGACATGAATCCATCAAAATATCAAAAGTCTAAAATGGAATCAAGTTCGAAGACTGTTAAGTATGTGTACGTTCCACCTGGTACCTTAGCAAGGGGGCGAGGACAGAGCTTCAGAGCATTGGTTTCTGTAAGAGTAAATGCTGAACAAAGAGGTTTGATTGGAAAAGTAAAGCTTTTAATGTATTAGCTTCTGATCTGAATAACCTAACTCATAATGATAGTCTTGCACCTCTTGGTTTTGATCAAATATTTGAAGGTGATACTCTTTTTCCCCATGAAGAAGAAGAGATGCAGGGCACTCAGAGAAGTGAGAGGAACAAATAGGTGTAAAAAAGTTGCAGGACTCAAAGTTGGAGAAAAGTTGCGCGTCACTTTCTATCACAATAGGGTTGTTGGGGAGCACCATGCCTCATTTACGTGACACTTAGGTATATTGGTCCGTGATCGTAATATGCCCATTGCGTGTACACTCATGGGCAAACATCGAAGAATATAAGCTACAACACATGTGGGAAGCTGTTACGGTAAAGATTTAAAGCATTACTTTCTTGATTTGTCTTCTCCATTTCTACTTGTTAATACAATCTTAGAGATAGTCCCTGATTTGTCAACCACAGTTTAAGTAATGGACAATAAACCGTTGAAAACTATAGAATATATTCTGTACAAGCTGAATCTGGATTACTAAGAATTACTTTACAGAATGGTAGAAAATCGGGCAGAAATTGTCATGTTGCATGAATCCAGTAGTGACAAGTTAATAAGTTATTAACTCTGCATAATTCTACTTAAAAAATTAGCCCTAAAATGCCAATCGTAATTTTCTAGGATTCCATAAATTGAGAAGGCGGGGGACTTGTTTTCGTCATCCCTGTACCTGCATAATATAGCTTTGCATCATTCGTGAACCTATAAAGAGTGAGCGTAGTGCAACACATAGTGTTAAGATTTCCAGTTTGGATCTTGTTAATACAGAAAAACAGATCCACCCTAGTTGAAGGCATTAACAGAAGGAAATGTGAGTAGAGGATTCCAGTAAATACCATGAGCCCCACGTATCTCCACTTCATACAATTCTTGGACAAGGGCACAACAACAGCACATTAAGCGTGAGAGAAAATCATCTATAATTCCTCCCTAAAAAGAAACAAAAATCAGCAGCATATCTCAATGATATTCAGTTTAACACGAGGTCTTGTATAAAGGTACTTGTCCATCGTTAACTATTTGACTTTGTCAATCAAATACCTTCAAACAAGGATCAACACGATGAAGAAAAAGAACCTTCAGAAGCTTTTCCTTATCCCTTCCGATAGGCATTTTCATATGGAGATGGGGGTTTCTCTTTTTGTACGGAGCATTTGTGGGAATAACTTGCAAGTCTATTTTTCATTTCTGATTTATTAGAGGGATATTAAGTTTTCGAATCTACTGTGATAACTTGCAAATCTATTTTATATTCCCTATTCCTATTTATTAGAGGGATATTAAGTCTGCGAATCTACTCTGATAAAGGGACAAATGCAGCTGCAGTAGATATGGTAGTTTACCGTGATGTTTAGCTTTTTCCATAGCTTCTTTATGATGCAGAAAGTGTAACAACAGCTGCGTGATATTTTCCTATTTGTTGTTTCATATTTAATTATACTTGTGAAATATTGTAGGACAAATTTGACAGTGATGACATAAATGATCAACGAGATCATGTCTTGAAACATATGAGAAAGTTATGGAATAATTGGAGATGATCGATGCACAAGAATATTAAGTCTAAGCCATTCTGTTATGCTATAAAAGATGTTCCAAAAGTGGGTAGACAAGAGTGATTGGGAATGGTTAATCAAGGAGCATTTTTTTACTGAAAAATTTAAGGTATGATTTCATAGCTATTTATTAACATTGTGTTATATTAAGTGGCTAACCAGAATTTTGCCGGTATATTGTTAATTTAGGAGACAAGTACAAGAAACTCGGTCAATAGGTCTAAGTTGAGTATGCCTCATCGTACGGATAGTAAACCAATTAGGGAGATAATTTATGAATAGGTGAGTAAATATTATAATTCTATTAAGAAACCTCATCTTTGTTATAAAGATTTCTTTGACTTGTTTATTTTAATGTGAAAGGAGGTAAAGATGGTACTAGATGTGGCAACTATATTTTCTAGATTCGTAAGAAGAACAACAAGCTTGTCGAACCTGAAACCAATGAGAAATATGTATGTTTATTGATAAATTTCAATTTATATTATTTATTAATTGTGTTGTATTATTTTAATTAAATTATTTTTTTATTTTACAGGATAAAATCAAAGAATTGGTGCAATCTGAATCGTCTCTTACAAATATTGAGGTTGTAGAAAGGTGCTTCAGACCTCAACGAAAGAGTCATGTAGTTGGATTTGGTGGTGGGATAATCGCTAAGGAGTTGAAAGGTGGTAACTCCTCTAAAGCTGCATTGTTGGAAAAGCTAAATGCTACTGTAAAAGAAAATGAATCACTAAAAGGACGTTTGGAAGGGCTAAAGAGTAAATATGATGAGCTAGGGAGTAAATACGCACAACTTGCAAAGATAGTGTTTGATCAGCCTTCATCACCATCTTCAAGTGATCAATAAATTGAATCATATAACGGGTTAGTACATTGAAAAATCTATTTTACTCTATAAAGCGTACCTTTATAGTAACCTAATTTTAGTCCTTTTGGTTTCTTCCGCATGCCTTAAGTTAAATTGTCGATTTGTGCGTTTGTATTTTCCTGTTTCTTCTTGTATGTTTTTAATTTGTGGTGTATCACCATTAGACACTGTTTGAAGGATATTTATTTAGATTGTTCTATGTGAAAAAGAAGAGCCAGTAAATTGTAATTTTTCTTTCTTCAAGGAAACATTGAAGTCATTTGTAAAAGCTTTATTACAGAAGCTTTCTAGTCACATCAAGATTCTTTTTGGCATCCCTGCTATTCTGAAAATGTTAGAATTCATACTGCAGTTTCTGGACCTGTTGGTTATAATGGAACAAGTCTAATCTCCCTCCAAAATAACAACAACAACAACAACTCAGTAAAATCCCACTACTGTGGTCTAGGGAGGGTAGTGTGTACGCAGACCTTACCCTTACCCCGAAGGAGTAGAGAGGCTGTTTCCGAAAGACCCTTGGCTCAAGAAAACAAAAAGACAAAAGGAAACAATATTAGTATCAACAAAGAAATCATATGAAAAACAGGAACAATATGAAATTCAGAAGAAAGATGCAAAGCAAAAGCGATAGCTAGTAAATAGTTCCTGCGCTGAAAAGTGAAATAGTAAGACACAACATTGCCACTAACTACCTTAGATAAAAACCATACCAGACTGGTCTCGCAATGGTACAAAGTAAGGAAAGACTCAAACTACCTCCTAACCTACAACCCTAATACTCGACCTCCACATCTCCCTATCCAGTGTCATGTCCTCGGAAATCTGAAGCCTCGCCATAACCTGCCTGATCACCTCTCGCCAATACTTCTTAGGCTGCCCTCTACCTCTTCTCGTGCCCTCCACAACCAGCTGCTCACATCTCCTTACCGGTGCATCTGGGCTTCTCCTCTGAACATGCCCGAACCATCTGAGTCTCGCTTCCCGCATATTTGTCATCAATGGGAGCCACATGCACCTTCTCCCGAATATCATCATTCCTAATCTTATCCATTCTAGTGTGCCCGCACATCTACCTCAACATCCTTATTTCTGCTACTTTCATCTTCTGGATATGTGAGTTCTTTACAGGCCAACACTCAGCCTCACACATCATGGCCGGTCTAACAACCGCTTTATAGAACTTACCTTTGAGTAACGGTGTCACTCTCTTATCACACAAGACTCCATATGCTAACCTCCACTTCATCCATCCTACAAACATCCTCATCGATCTCCCCTCCCCCCTGGATAACCGACCCAAGGTACTTGAAGCTGCCTCTACTTGGGATGACCAGTGATTCAAGCCTCACATCCACGTCCACTTCCCCCAGCTCAGTGCTGAACTTACACTCCAGGTATTCCATCTTCGTCCTGCTCAGCTTAAAACCCTTAGACTCAAGAGCCTGTCTCCAAACCTCCAAAATAAATTGTAGTAATATTGAGAGAAAGAAAAGCTTTATATACATTTTTCCTTATTCACTTTCCTTTTCTTAGCAGAAAATCTTCTCATCCTAGACATGGTAACTTCATCATTTTGAACTTTATCTGGAAACATCTGTAAAGACATCAATTTGCCATGCATCACACATTTATCTACTTGTTGTCAGAGGGAAAGTTTTATGCCATAATTTCATTAAACTAATATATATATATATATATATATATATAGTAATTCGCCTAAAAAAAGGCCTAATGTCATGACCCCAAAACCGACCCGGTCGTGATGGCGCCTATCGTGAAACTAGGCCAGCCGACACAATTTCCAGTCGAACCGTTATTCCATAAACGTCATTTTTAAGCCATTAATTAACAAAACATCTCACAATATAAGTTTAGATAAGCAGTGCGGAAATACAACACAAGCCCGACATCGGGGTGTCACCAGTCATGAGCAACTACAAACCCGTCTAAGAACAAGAAAGTGCTAACATAGTCCGAAAATAAAATACTAAGACAATCTAAGTAAGGTAAGAAGGAGAAGTGCAGGGCTGCAAACGCCAAGAACCTACCTAGCCAACTCCGGAGACCTACTGGAAGACTGATCAGCACTCGCTATTGCGTCCCGAGGCTCCTGGATCTACACACAAGATGCAGGGAGTAATGTGAGTATGCCAACTCAGCAAGTAATAAAAGTAAAAGCAGCTGAGCAGTAAGAAAACAGATAATCTCACGTCACAGCACTACACCAAATACAGTACATTTCCAAAACAGTCCAAAAAGCAACTATCTCGTAAAAATAAACATAGTTTCAGTAAAACCCTTTTCTTTTAAAACATCTTTCAATAGTTTCAACAAGTGAGTAAAACAATGAGTAAAACGATAGAAAATGTAAACAGCCCCTCGGGCAAAACATGTACCATAAACCGCCCCTCGGGCATAATATCAACAGAACCAGCCCCTCGGGCTACCTCACAATCGCTCGTAATCAGCCCCTCGGGCAACAACATAAAACAACAACAGCCCCTCGGGCAATATCACATCACTCTCACCGGGTACCCGTGCTCACTAGGGTGTACAGACTCCGGATGGGCTCCTACAGCCCAAGCGCTATCACAAGCCATCTAGTGGCATAATAAATCAGGGCCCCGGCCTCTCGTTTATCACAAATCAGTACAACCAGCTGCGGCGCGCAGCTCGATTCCATGATATCCTCACAACACAGGCCCTCGGCCTCACTCAGTCAGAACTCACTCAAGCCCCTCGGGCTAATAGTAAAACAGGTACTCGGCTCAAATATCATTTTTAAAAAATCAAAAGGAGTAGATAAAACCGAGTTATGAAATCAGTGAAAGCATAGCATGACTGAGTGTAAATCGTAAACCAAAAACAGTGAGGAAACAGTAGTAAAAAGCCCCTAAGGGTCCAAACAGTCGGCACAAGGTCCAAACACGGCATTCAGCCCCAAACATAGTAATACTTTCCAAAATATAATAATATCAAACAGTTTCCAATTAAATACGCGATTTAATAGTCGTGCGGGATGGACCAAGTCATAATCCCCAACGGTGCACGACCTCACGCTCGTCATCTAGCGTGTGCGTCACCTCAAAATAGCACAACGATGTGAAATCTGGGGTTTCATACCCTCAAGACAACATTTACAATCATTACTTACCTCAACCCGGTCCAAACTCTAGCCCGTGATGCCTTTGCCTCTCGACTCTGCCTCCGGATGCTCCAAATCTAACCAAAATCAGTATCATACCATTAATACGCGCTAAAGGAACAAAGCCTAAGCGAAAATAATCAAATTACATCAAAAATCCCGAAATTGACCCGACCCCCGAGCCCACGTCTCGGATTCCAATAAAAATCACATCACTAGAATTCTTATCCTCCCACGAGTCTATACATACCAAGAACATCAAAATCGGATCTCAAATGGCCCCTTAAATCCCCAATGGAAACTCTCCAATACCAAGCCCTAATTCTCCAATTTTAACCCTTAATTTCCAATAATTTCAAGCCTAATTAGTAAGAAAATGCCATAGAATTGAGTTTTGAGTTCACATATCTTACCTCCAAGCGTTTCCCTTCAAATCCCTCTTCAATCTCTCTCAAAAAGCTTCAAAATCGCTCAAAAATGGTGAGAAATGAGCTGAAAATCGTGAAGGCAAGAATTTATATGTTCTGCCCAAGGGTTCCGCATCTGCGGTCCAATACCGCACCTGCGACAAAAGGTCCGCATCTGCGGAATTTCACATAAACTTCCCGTCCGCACCTGCGATCAAGCCTACGCATCTGCGGGCTCGCAGGTGCGACTAACCTTCCGCATCTGCGATGCATCCCCAATCACTGGCCTTCGCTCCTGCGATAAAAATGCCGCTTCTGCGGCTCGCACCTGCGGTCCCCAATCCGCAGGTACGGTTATGACAGAAACACAGCAGCTTCAGCTCAGCTCTAACTTCCAAACTTCCCGATAACCATCCGAAATAATCCCGAGGCCCTCGGTACCTCAACCAAAAGTACAAATAAGTCATATACCACTATTTAAACTTGTACCAATCTTCGGAATACGCAAAACAACATCGAATCGTCAAAACACCCTCGGATTCAAGCCTAAGTATTTCAAAACTTCCGAATTCTGCAAATGATCAAAAAGTCTATCAAACCTCATCCGAATGACCTGAAATTTTGCACACACGTACCAAATGACACAACAGACCTACTCCAATTTGCGGAATTCCATTCCGACCTCGATATCAAAATTTTCACTTGCGACCGGAAAACGCCAAAATTCTAATTTCGCCAATTCAAGCCTAAATCTACCACGGACCTCCAAAATACATTCTGATCACGCTCCTAAGTCCCAAATCACCTAACAAAGCTATCTGAACCATCGGAATTCACATCTGAGACCTTTTTCACATAAGTCAACATCCGGTTAACTTTTCCAACTTAAGCTTACTCAAAAGAGACTAAGTGTCTCATTCCTCTCTAAAACCACTTTGAACCCGAACCAACCAACCCGATACCACATAATACAATTGAACAACACATAAAGAAGCAGAAATGGGGGAAACGGAGCGGTAACTCATGAAACGACCGGTCGGGTCGTTACATCATCCCCCTCTTAAACAAACGTTCGTCCTCGAACGAGTCAAGAAACATACCTGAAGCCTCAAATAGGTGAGGTTATCTACTATGAATCTCCCACTCGGTCTCCCAGGTAGCCTCCTCCACGGGCCGACCTCTCCACTGCACTTTCACTGAAGCTATATCCTTTGATCTAAACTTTCGGACCTGCCGCTCCAAAATAGCCACTGGCTCCACATCATAAGTCAAATCACTGTCTAACTGAACCGTGCTGAAATTCAAAACATGAGACGGATCGCCAATATACTTCCGAAGCATAGAAACATAAAATACCAGATGTACACTCGACAAGCTAGGTGGCAAAGCCAGCTCATAAGCCACCTCCCTTATCCTCCGAAGCACCTCAAAAGGCCCAATGAACCGAGGACTCAATTTACCCTTCTTCCTGAATCTCATAGCACCCTTCATGGGTGAAACCTTCAGTAGAAACTTCTCCCCAACCATGTAGGACACATCACGAACCTTCCTATCAGCATAACTCTTTTGTCTCGATTGCGTTGTACGAAGCCGCTCCTGAATCACCTTAACCTTGTCCAAAGCATCCTGCACCACAGTCTAGCCTCATCCGGCTCAAACCAACCAACTGGAGATCTACACCGTCTCCTATATAAAGCCCTATATGGA